CTTTTTTTTTTTTTTTTTTTTTTTTTTTTTTTTTTCTCTCTTTGAGAGGGGGAGGAGTTGTGCCTAAAAAAACAAACCCAACCTGTCGTTCTCAGCTCTGCCAACCTGTCAGTCCAGCCATACAAGAGAGAGGGAGAGAGACAGAGGGAAAAGAAAGGAGGGAGTGAAGCAGAGATTCTTTCAGGTCTCAGCAGACGTTAAGGTAAAGCCCATTTCTCATTTCCTTAATTGTGCTTGTCTCTGTGTGTGTACATGTAAACAGAAACCCTGTTACCTTAGAGAGTTTTAAACTAACTAACTAAACAACCTGTATGGGAATAAACTGTTTATCTTGTTCAACTGGAAGTGTGTTTTGCATGCAACCTGGCAGCTTGTCAGTTGTTGTTTGGAAACACAAGTTTCTCTCTCTGAAATTCAGAAGGAGAGTTTGTGTTCATTTGAATATTAAAAAGAGGCAGAGCCTTAGTGACTGTATGAATACATGTTTGGGAAGGATACTAAGCTGTGTAATTTCAGGGCTGAAGCCAGCCTCTAATTACTGAAGATCAGGCTAAGAACTTGTTAGAGGAGGGAAAATCTTCCAAAGCTGCCTGTTGCAGGGCTCTTACACCTTCTCCTGGAGCATTTGGTATTAGCCACTGGTGGAGACAGGATACGAGACTAGACAGACTGTGGGTCTGATCCAGTTTGGCACTTCCTCCATTCCTCCATTCCCGTCTGTCCATTTCTGGTGGGGTTTATCCAACTTGTCATTACCAGAGAAGGAAGAAAGCTAAGGTGCAGCAAAACTGCCCGCGTGAATTCTTGAGTTAGGAGGGCAGACCAGCAGAGGCACTTTCAGCTCATACCAGAGGAAATTGAAGGTTACAGACTGAGAAATGTTGGCTGAAATAAGTGTGAGTCAGAAGAATCATTCTGCCCCAGAGCTTGCTGTATGAGTCTGGTCTGGGCAACCAGTTTGTTGGAATGATTGTAGTAGAGGGGGCCTAGTTGTGAAGGCCTGAAAGACAAGAAGGGACACAATTCTGTTAAGCTGAGTGTCTGCGCACGAGGGCCTGTGTGAATGTGACTTGTGCACAAATGTCTACATGTAAGGAGTCTGCCGAGAGATTCTGACCCCTAGTATGCCATGAAAATATTCAAACAAAGGTCAGAAAGGAAGAATTATGTTTATCCACCTTAGACCTACTCCTATTTCTATATTTCTAAATCCTGATCAAACCTTGTAAACTGTACTAAACTATCTTTCTAAGCAGGTTGAGGCTCTGGGAAGGTCATATAGAAGGCAAACTGGAGGACAGGTTTTCCTTTCCTCTCTAAATATTTAGGGCTTTCACTCCTACTGCCAAGGTGTGCCTGCTGCAGATAACCTGTCTAGTAATACTAACCCAACAGAACACGTTGAAAGATGGCAGAGAAAGACAATACAACCGTCATGTTGCTCGCTGCATGGGTTGCAATGCCCGTGCCAGGGCTTTGGTTACATAATACTGGCTTCTGCATCTTCCTTGTTAAACTTCCTCAGATACTTGCGCCCGGGCCGTAGTTTCGGATTGAAGCTCTCCCCCCATGGCTGTGATCTGGGAAGCAGACAGAGGCGATCCAGATGAGAGAGGGGTGGTCTGTCCGTATGACCCTTCCTATTCCAAAGTTTGCGATGTCTTTGCGTTACAGCTCTTTCCTTTCTTCTGGTAGTGTTGTCTCCTGGGAACTCTGAGCTGATGTTTCTTATTAACCCTGACTCATTCCCCTTGGGGATGGTGATACAGAGTGAGACTATAAGCTTTTAATACACAAAAGAAATTCTTTTACAGATAGAGGGTTTTTTGAGCATTATTATAAGCTTTCCTGTCAGAGCCAGAATGGAGAAGGAAGTGCTTTGTCAAGAGATGGTAGGAGATGGGGAAGAGGAAGCAAATGCTTCAGTTTTGGTGGGGAGAAACATTCCTACTGCTAGTTACAGTAACAGAAATTAGTCACTGAAAGAAGGAAAAGAGGAAAATTCTTTAGCTTTCATGATCTGCAAAGACTTCGCTAACTAGCCTCACAAAACATTTGCACCTTCTCATAGCTCTTCTCTTCTCGTAGCTCTTCTCTTCTCCTCTCTTCTCTTCTCTTCTCTTCTCTTCTCTTCTCTTCTCTTCTCTTCTCTTCTCTTCTCTTCTCTTCTCTTCTCTTCTCTTCTCTTCTCTTCTCTTCTCTTCTCTTCTCTTCTCTTCTCTTCTCTTCTCTTCTCTTCTCTTCTCTTCTCTTCTCTTCTCTTCTCTTCTCTTCTCTTCTCTTCTCTTCTCTTCTCTTCTCTTCTCTTCTCTTCTCTTCTCTTCTCTTCTCTTCTCTTCTCTTCTCTTCTCTTCTCTTCTCTTCTCTTCTCTTCTCTTCTCTTCTCTTCTCTTCTCTTCTCTTCTCTTCTCTTCTCTTCTCTTCTCTTCTCTTCTCTTCTCTTCTCTTCTCTTCTCTTCTCTTCTCTTCTCTTCTCTTCTCTTCTCTTCTCTTCTCTTCTCTTCTCTTCTCTTCTCTTCTCTTCTCTTCTCTTCTCTTCTCTTCTCTTCTCTTCTCTTCTCTTCTCTTCTCTTCTCTTCTCTTCTCTTCTCTTCTCTTCTCTTCTCTTCTCTTCTCTTCTCTTCTCTTCTCTTCTCTTCTCTTCTCTTCTCTTCTCTTCTCTTCTCTTCTCTTCTCTTCTCTTCTCTTCTCTTCTCTTCTCTTCTCTTCTCTTCTCTTCTCTTCTCTTCTCTTCTCTTCTCTTCTCTTCTCTTCTCTTCTCTTCTCTTCTCTTCTCTTCTCTTCTCTTCTCTTCTCTTCTCTTCTCTTCTCTTCTCTTCTCTTCTCTTCTCTTCTCTTCTCTTCTCTTCTCTTCTCTTCTCTTCTCTTCTCTTCTCTTCTCTTCTCTTCTCTTCTCTTCTCTTCTCTTCTCTTCTCTTCTCTTCTCTTCTCTTCTCTTCTCTTCTCTTCTCTTCTCTTCTCTTCTCTTCTCTTCTCTTCTCTTCTCTTCTCTTCTCTTCTCTTCTCTTCTCTTCTCTTCTCTTCTCTTCTCTTCTCTTCTCTTCTCTTCTCTTCTCTTCTCTTCTCTTCTCTTCTCTTCTCTTCTCTTCTCTTCTCTTCTCTTCTCTTCTCTTCTCTTCTCTTCTCTTCTCTTCTCTTCTCTTCTCTTCTCTTCTCTTCTCTTCTCTTCTCTTCTCTTCTCT